AGAATTCCTCTCAGGGATTAATAAAGAATATAAAACTAAATTAAATAAGAAAATCATTTCAAAATTTCAGCAGACGGCCTGATTCATTTGGGATCTTGAGGTAAAAAAAGAGTCATGTAGTGCCAGGTAGTGCCACGTCTTTTAATATTATTTTCTCATTTTTGCAGCTGGATCACCTGCATCTCTATATAAGCTACAGTTTTTATTCTGTGTGGGGCTCAAACAGAAAACCCTCGAGGTTAAGCAGGCATGTGACCAAAATCAAATGTTTTGCTCGTATAAGACTCGGTTCAGAATTTTTATGACAGTTTGAACAGCACAAGTGACAAAGAATCTGTTCTTTTCAAATCAGATTTTTGGGCACCTTTCATATGTGGTCTTACATCGGATAGAGTTCAAATCTTTTGCAATGAGACCTCAGTCTGAACAGCCAGACCGCAAAGCCTGCAACTTTGAGTTCAGTCCTGGCTGACAGGACGGGTGGGAGCAGGGGCTTATACGAACCATGTTCAACACACAGTACAAAGGCTGTCACTATCATGGACAAGTCTGTAGTCAGCAGACTGCCATATTTAATTATAATTATTTTATATTTTTATTTTATTTTATTTAGGTATTCAGCTTAAGTTACTATGGTGATTTACCTGGTACAAAGTAAGCCAAAAACTGGGTTAACCCTAATGTAACTTCAATAACTGTGAAGGTTGGGAGTGTTTTCTGCAGGGGGTTGTAGGTAATCAGTTCTGCTTTTTATAAAATATTCTCTCTCCACATCATGCTGAGTGTGATGTCTTGCTTTTGTTGTGCATGTTAGTCAGTTCAAGAGTGTGACCAGCTCACACCTCAGGTCTGATACAGGCCACATTTAAAACGTAACGAGAAGAGCAGAAATACAAAAGCAGAGTAGAGCAAGAAATCCGAAGTGAGCATTAAGACTGGTTGTGTGAACATAGCCTCCAAGGTTGTGGTGACCGAACCTGATCAGCCTCATTCTGTAAAGAAAATATAGACGTCACTATTAAAGGAAATTAGAAGCTTACCTTCTCCCAGCTCTCTATCCCATTAAATATATTTTAAACGTATCAGCAAATGCACTGATTTCTAACTGAGGAGTCGGAGCACAGTAAACATGCATCCCTGTGTGTGTGTGTGTGTGTGTGTGTGGAAAGTACAGCGGCATTGACTTCAGACTGGATTTCAGTTGGTTTAGGTTGCACAACGATAGCTGTCAAATGTTTTTCAGCCTTGATCTCATTGGTGAACCTACTCAAGAAAATACTACCATCTCCATGCCAAAAGCTACACTGCCAGCTTGGGTCAAAACCAACTTCTAAAGAATGCATTCATCGACGCCTCAGACATCAGTGTGACAGCTGATATTGCACGGAGAGCTCTCACATTCATACATCCTAACAGGAGAATTAATTAAAAATGAGCCCATTAGGATTTCCTTAAGGACTATAATGTTAGTTACGTTTCGAAACAACCAATGTAAATGTGTCTTGAACAAAAGAACATCCTCCCTGCACTCCCTAGAGTCACGCAGTGAGAAAGATCACCTGCCTGTAAACTATCTCATGCCTGTAGGCTGAATTGACTAGATAACGTGTTGTATGCTTAGCTATCCGTTTGTGCTCTTTAGTCTGCAAAACCCTGATTCAAAATGTGTCTGAGAGAAGAGTGCCTCATCATAATTCATTTTATATTGCTCTCGATAACTACTTGTCATCTCTGCGGTACAACAACTTTAAGAGTTAGGTCGACGTTGAGGTCTTTGGCTGACCTCTGAGCATCTGTGTACAGGGTCATGATGACATGATGATTCTGATGCTGTACAAATTTCCCTTGATATAAACACTCCTCTCAGATCAGCAATCCTATTCTAAGAGCATTCACACATTAATGACTTCGTTTCCTGGTTGAGAGGATATGACTACTCTTGAAGATTGATGACAGAGGTATGTATAAATAGAGTTGTGAGACGGTGATAGAGAAAGAGGGAGGAATGATGGATAGATACAGGATATAGAAAATGGAGCAGTTAGAAAATGAAGGGGGGAGGTATGTTCTGCATCTTTAATCAGCGTCATCAGGCCTTCAGATGAATCAATAAGAGGCTGAAAAAAGAGCTACAGGAAAAATATATGCAATAAAGTAGAAGAGGCAGGGCTACGAGCAGAATGTGTTAAACTAGAATTTAAATGTGTTGTTGTTTTGTTTGCTTGTTGTTTTTAAGATTGCTTAGTTGGTCAAATGGTAATTACTAAAGAATTACAAAACAAATCACATTTTATTATTTGTCCATCATAGATTAAATTTATTCAGCCTGCAAACGATATAAAATGCCATTATTTTTTGAGAGTTGTAAATGTGGTCCATGGCTGTCCATTGCTCTAACCCTACAAGGGGACACTTTTTTGCCAGATGTGGGAAAACAGTTATGAAGATGGGGATGAGACTTTCCTTTTTTTAAATCCAATTTATTAATGTTCCCTTTATATGAAACAAGCAAGGTAAACACATACCAAAAGGATTTCTCCTTCAACTGAAACTGACACCTGGCAGAGATGAGGCAATCTTGCAGTCATGCCGAATAACTCTCACTGTTATCATTTTGTTTGCATATAATGTAAGTGTTAGACGTCTTCGCTAAATTCCATTTAGATTTAAATCTCCAATTCAAACCAGTATTGGAGATATTAAAATCAACACATGAAGCTACTTTTAAATTGACATGTAAAAGTGGGTGTGGTCGTTTTTGGGGGTGGATTTTGTGCAAAAACGCGATTTAGTATCCTGAAAAATCCCTAGTCTGACCCCTCACAAGCTACCTAAGGAGGAAGTTAACATTACACAAATAACACAAATAAATATAACACATTTTTTTCACCCAACTTTTAGAAGCTCTCACAAATTTTCGTACAGGAGTTGAATTTAAATCGTTTTAGATATGTTATAAGACACCTTTATGAACACATTGGTGAAAAAAATGTCTTCTCAAGGAAATTATTCCCAGATTTTTGCAATATTTCCTGACTGTATCCATCAATAGCTGTTTAACTTATCCCATTCATACACATGCACTGCAGACGGCGTTGCAATATTGGGAGCAACTCGATGAAGTGTCTTGCCCTACATGATCAACATGTGGGTGCAGAAGCTGGGGATCAAACCCAGACCTTCCAGTTGAGAGACGACTGACTCTACCACTGAGCCACAGTCGCCTCGAATAGGCCAGTACATGAGGGCTCTGATGCAGACAATTCAGCGGCAAATTATGCACTTCCTGGTCGAATTAGTAAGAGTTCATTGCAAACTTGGTGATGCGAAGCATGCTATCATCCAGCCCCCCGCTAAAGGGTGGCTTTAGCGGGGCTTTAGGGTTGAGATTGGAATCGGGCCATTGTCTCGTGAAAATAATTTTAGCCAGTAAAACTATTTTTGCATTAAGTTTATCGCATGTGATTCACAAGATGAGTCATGAGGGGATTTATCAAACAGAAATGTAGTCGCAAAAAAAAAGTAAGAAGTCAATGAAATGTCTTTATGTCAGGTTTTCCCCCTGAACATCTTCATATGCATCTCTATGTGAGTACTGAACAGATCGTATAACTGCAGCTCTCTCTCTCTCTCTCTCTCTCTCTCTCTCTCTTCATACATTCAACTATGTAGAGTTCCCTGTCGATTTGAAATGATATGTTCAGACAGTTTATCGCCTCAGCAGTGTTCTCTTATTTATGCATGCAACAATACCATAGAGTCCAATATAGTAACATCTTTGAAGCCCCAGGATATGAAACCACTCGCACATTCTAAAGCCCCTGCTTCTCCTTTTTAACAGACATGAAAATCAAATGCCGTGGTTCAATTACTTCATTCACCGATGTGTCTATGTCAAAAATCTGATGATTTATTTATGTTCTCACACACTATTTCTTTTCTTTTTTTTTTTCTAACCTGAAAACTGCATGTAAATAAGTCAGTGTAAATCCTGGAAGAGATTAGAAAACCTTCAATCTATCTTGTTGTACATACTACAACTACACCTATAGGGCCTGGATGTGCCCTATTGATAACAGATAGCAAAATGACCTTTTGGGATTGTACAATGCTTGTCTAAACATTTCTTGCCAAAAGCTTTGCATACAAATGTACTGAAAGAATATGCACTGTGTTCCCAGAGAGTTTCTAACACTGTTTGGTAAACTTTTCCTCCTTAACTACCTGAATACTCACACACTCTGACCTGACTGACCTGTGCTGTTCACAAATGCATATTTGAGAATGAATCCAGGCAGATTTCCAATAAAGACAGACCGCAATTTTGTCCCACCCACACTGTTTGGGAAGATAATGAATTGCTTTCCAATTCACTTTGTTTTGTATGAAGGAGCATTGAAACTTTCCTCTGCTAACACACAACAGTAAAATGCCTGAAAGCTGCAGTGTGGTTGGATGTACTATCGTCAGTGTTATAGGACCCTTTGAAATCTGTATCAACACAACATTCTGCAGCACGAAACAACGACAAACTGTAGCTACACGTGGCCCATTTTTGTTACTTACTACTTATTACTAGGTTATTAAGATCTTACACAAGGACTTGTGCTTTGTACAGATAGTTTCAAATAGTAAGGTACTTGGGGGGAGGACAAACTGTGGTGGGGGAACCAACAAAGTTGAGTTTGTCAATATACATTTTTATTTATTTCCATACAAAGGCCATTGCACTCAGAGTCTGTTTTTTTCTGTTCAAAATTGATGCACGTTTAAAAATGTTCTCATGTTATGTCTATCGTGTGTGCACACTGACTCTGACATTTTCTTCCATTATTATTATTTTTTTTTATGGAACATGTTTGTTTTTCTGCGTTTTTTCGCATTCCATCCCTGTGAGTGTGGTTGTCTGTAGTGTCCCTACCTCAAACATGCTGCCGGCCACTGTTCAGGATCAAGTGCATGTGTTTACTGTAGCACTATATGTGTGATTAGACTCTGACCTGCAGATGGAGTGTATCTCATGTGTGTCTTCGTCCTTGCGGGCGTTGTCAGTCAGACTGTCGCCAAGGGACATCAGACACTGAGCGAATCCTTTATAGATGGAGTGACACCTTCTGGTTGAATATGCAGCAGCAGGGCATTGGCTCAGCACTGAAAAACATAAACAGAACGTCACATACAGAGAAAAGATGAATTGACAGTTGGACTTGCTGTGTAATGTGTAAGTATAAATGCAGCTGTTGAAAATACATGTATTTGAGTTTCTCTTTGTTAATTGTTGGAGCTGTAGGAACACAGTGACAAGAGACAAGGGTGTTAATAAATACTAAGTGTTTCCAGTGTGTGACATTGATGTCTGCAGCGGTTTGTTTCAATTGTATTCTTATGTATGCATGACAGCCGGTGTGCCTGATGGAGTTACGACACTCAGCAGCTTTACGGCAGTCAATGTGTTATGAGGTTCTAGTAAATAGAGCGCTGAATAAAGCGAGGTGTTTTACAATGTATTCCTCAGACCATTCACTAATGCAGAGTTTAAAGTGCTGATCACTGACTTTCTGATCATTGACTGCTGTTTCCACTGGATGGAGAAACAGACAGGTTTAGAAAGGGGATCCCAATCCGCCTTCTAGCTAGCTACAATAATGCAATATAGCAGCCCAATGGATATGAATGTGACTGGAATTAAAAAAGCTTCATCATCATAAAGTGTATTTTCAGTCATTAAATCATTCAGAGCGCTAAACCCCTCACGTCAACATTCACCCTTTGAAACAGGTCAGACTGTCTGTTCAAGGAGCATTATTTAGCCCCTTTGACGTCTTGATTTCACTATAACTAATATAAATAAATCAACTTTGTATGTCACAGAGGCATAATGGTGGGGCTAAGTGATCCCCCATTCGTACCTTTGGCGGTGGTAAAAGGGTCAATTCGGAATCACTTATGAATGTACAAAAATACACTGACCACGGACACTGTAGTGGAATTTTTGGAAGATGGGTAAATAGTAACTAGCTCGGCATATCGCTTCCTAGTGTAGTGGAGGACATACTTCCATCGATAAATTGATTCTCTCCCAATGCTTGCACTAGCACAAAGACAGAAGTCATACTAAAGGGCTTAATCGGGCTATAACTGTATATGGGGATAACTTTGGAGGAAAACATACTGACTGATGACACACGCTGCAATGAAAAGTTTCTACTGATGAGGAACTGAAAAACTTCTCTCTCACACACTCATAGATTTGGGTTCCATGTCTTGCCCTCTCAAATGGCCAATCTTTCAATAAGCAGACAACTGGCTTGAAAAGAAGGTTTCTAGAGCTAAAAAGCTAGCGGAACAAGGAAGAAAGCAATGCAACTTGTTTACCGTCAGTTCTGAGGAAACATTTGAAAATAAGGGCAGGATGTGACATGCATGTCAATCCATGCTTTGGCAAGACAGAGAGAAAGCACCTGTTTTATATCAGGTACATTTTGAAGGCAGTTATAAATACACCGAGTTCTTTTGGAAGTTTTCCTATGGCTACAAGGTCACAAGATTTGAGGTCAACAGCCCACAGCATGATAGATCATTCGTCAATATAACTAAGCTCAGTCATACTTTCCACACGATGAAGTTTTGTTGCAGATGAGTAATATGTCACAACAGGTGAAAACAGGAAACCACTTCTTGTTCATGGTTCATGACAGATGTTGAGACACCCAAATCAAAGCTTCTCCGAGGATTTCTAAAGTAAGGCGCTCCAGTGCACACTTCCTTCATGCACAAACACAAATCTCTGAGAGCCCTGTCTCACAGGTCTTTTACTTTATACAAAGCTATTTACATGAACAGCCTATCACAAAAGCGTTAAGGTTTTTGGTCAGTCAGACTTGAGTAGGGGAAATTTCTTGTAGAGATTTTAATTTTTATAAGCAGTCTTTAAATCATTTGGGTGTTTCACCATCAGTTACAGATGAAACGACAGAGATCTCAGCTTTCATGCACACACAGCAGAGACTCAGATCTCTACAGGGACATGGGCACCACTGTTTGATTAGGCTGATCCTCTCATCGTCTGAGCAGCAGCAAATAAATGTCAGTCAGAGCCACTGAGAAGCCTGCAAGGAGAGGGGGTAAATATCACGAAAAAAGGAGATGGAATTATTCAATAACCTAGTTTTGAACTTCCATCCTTCTTCCCCCATTTGACTCAGAACTTAATTTATCATTTCCTTACTTTCCTAATGTTGTTCCAATCCTTTTGACCAACATCACAATCTTCATATTTCTCTGTAATTTCAGTCTGATTTGCTGTTTTCTAACAGCTGTTTGTTAGAAGTAACAGTCTGAGTTGTACTTCTGTATTGAAGTGGAGGTGTGACAGGATAACAGCTACACCAAAAACTTAACAAGTTTTACTTTTTGTCTTCTCATTTATGTTGTAATGAAAAACTTGAATGCCAGACCAGAGCTTACATCCTCAGTCCTGCGTGTAATTAGAAAAGAACAAGGACTTTCAGGTTTTTAAAATTTTTACAAAAATGGGAAAATGGTACTTGTGGTAAACGTACTGTAACGTATGAATCAAATCGTAATATTGAAGGTCACATACTATGCAAAATACACTTTGCCATGTTTTTCTAACACTAATATGTGTCCCTAGTCTGTCTAAAAAACTATTATGGAAGAAGTCTATTCTCTCCATTCTCTCTTTTGTCTGCTCAACTTTTCAGAAAATGTGTGCTCACACAGGCTGTTTGGGGATTTTCCCTTCATGACCTCACAAAGAGCAGTAACCCCTCCCCCAAGTGGGTGTAATGGTGCATTCATGTAGACATATCCGACAGATCGGAAAATCAAGTTTCCGAGTTGTGAAATGCACACAAACACCTCCTCAAGTCAGAACAATAAACTAGGAATCTCGGAAAAATAATTAAGTGCTCGACTTGACGTCAGAATCGTCATCACATGAGGGGCAAAATATGTTTTGTCAATGTTAACATACTTTTTATTAATTCACGTATTGCACATCAACTTTTTTGCTCAAATTGAACTTTTAACAGTTACATTTCACTGATCTTGCTCGTAGCATCATCGCTTTTCTGTGCTGTTGTAACAACATTCGGACTTTCCGAACTGAAAAATCCCATGAACACACTGAAACTTGGACCACCCGAGCAGCAGACGAATGCAGTAATACTCCCACAGACAGGTGTTTGATCTGTCCTCTGAATCTGCCCATCACCGTAAAGAATTGGACATAGAGCGTGAAAGCCCAAACATGGTCGAACACAGTTCATTTGCATTTAAAGCTATAGACACAGATACAGCCTGTTCTGAGCAGGGCTGAAATAGAGGGGTCTATTGGCATGATAAGATACAGGATCAGAGTGGATTTTTGACAAAAACCTTCACAGCCATGTTTTGGGAACTCTGAGACTTATTTTAACTAGTTGAAAATTAGCATTATATGTGACCTTTAAACAAACGTCCTGATATTGATTTGATACTATTAACATTCAGAAAGTCAATATAGAGTCTGCAATTGCCTCTATATAGGCTACAGAATTATAAGGAAAGTTGCATTTGTGTTTGGATTGCATTCCAAGTGAGAGCTGAATTAAGCTTGACTTCACTTCAACTCTGTTCTTGCAGCTGTTGCCACAGGCTCTTTCATGGTGAAATAGCTGAGTTTCTGTAAATATAAAAAATGAATAGTGTCTAGACCTACTCGATTCTTTACAGTGTCATGAGACAGCTTTTGTTGTGATTTAGTGCTATATAATTGAAGTCTGAATTAAAAATTAAAAGAACAAGTTTGCAGCTCATGAAATGTGTTTTTTTTAACTCCCTTCTAAGTATCAACATGGGTGTTGCTGAAAACAATTCAAGGATTGAATGGCAATGTATTGATTTCACCAAGCTGTTAGAGCTTATGCATAACAATAAATTCTTATTATGCTGTACTTACTATTTGTGAACATTATATTGCAACAATGGACACAGTATGAGTACACTTACTTTTCAAATTAAATAATGGCGTGACAATTACAGAAATTGAAAAGCCCTCATTACTTGTTTCTTGACATAAAAGAGCCAGTAATTGTCATTTATTGATACAGATTTGGCGGGCAAGGTTGCGCTAGCGTCAGCACAGTAGCATCCTGGGAGAAAGAATAATGTGTGCAGGAAACACACGCACACACGCACACACACACACGCACACATACACACACACACACACACACACACACACACACACACACACACACACACACACACACACACACACACACACACACACACACTGATGAGCTTTCTGCCTTGAAAATACCAACTTTCCAATACCTACTTTATTTTTTCCCTCCTCGAGATAAAGGACATGAATATAGCAGTGAGTGGTAGTCAGCAGCAAGGAAACGTTGTCCACTGCCAAGATTAGTCATTCTAATGTCACGAAGCACCGAGCTAAACAACAGGCTTCTACTGAAACAGTTGTCTGAGAGCCCAGCGCATAACACACAGTAAGACCCAGGAGCAGCTCACGTTAGCTCGGCAGACCAAGGAGGACCCACAGACATGGCTTGATTTCAAAACATCACCAGCACTATGACCTGGGAGCCAGGACCAAAGAGTGTTGAGTCTGTTGCCTTCGGAGAACTTTAAACAAAATTCCAACATATTGAAAATGTTTTAATGTTATATGAAATCTGCGAGTTGATTCCTCTCACACTGCCAGCAACATTTAATAATGTGTACATTAATTTACAGTATTGAAGAAAAAGTAAAGCTAAAGTTCATTTCCCAAGTCACTTTTGTAATACAGTAACTAGTAACTAACTTATTAGTTATACATTTGCAGTAACTTGCCCATCACTACCTTTTTTTTACTTGCCAGATACTTTACATTAGTAGCTCCTCTGTGTCTCTCTCCCCTTACTCTATTTGCTCAAAAATATTTTCTTTTTGAATTTCCCAAAAGAGGAGAAAGGGTTCACCTCTGTTGTAACTGTTCAATAATGGTTAAAACTGCCTGATGATTATGATACCGAGAAGCCTTTGTTCATCATGATTGTAGGCACCTTTATTTGGGTGGCTGACCATTTTCAGTCTAAATCCACTGCATACTTTTTGGCGCTACTACATCTACTGTTTCTTTG